GATTTATTATAAGTTGTCAGTTTAACAAGCTTGTGAATGATAAGACTAACTATAGCCTTCTTTTTTCAGTTCGGATTTGAGCCAATCTATCGAAAATTCATCGCCGATAAAAGTGATAACCACCTGGCACTTCTAGTCCATAGCCTCCTCCTCTGTTGGTGCGCTTTTCGGTATTCAAAAACTCATACATAATTAATGAGTTATTAGGCCAATAGATTGAGCCTATTTGGTCACATGCATGGACCTTTATATCTGATAAAACACTCCTTATTAGCATTCTTTATAAAGAATACTACACCTTTTGCTGTTCATTTGCGGAAAATATACATTCATTTGCATCAGCAGTAAAAACAAAAGAGCGAAAAGACATTCATTAGCATTATCATATGTTTCAATAACAACAAGAAACATTCAATTACGTGATTTACATATTCAGTGATATTCAATAGCATTAACAGATAAACAATCGCATCTTTCAGGGACTGCGGAGCGGGATTTTGTTTGGGGGGCTAGCGGCGAGGATGTACTAGGGGGGCTTCGGAAAAATTTCAAAAATCTTAATTCTCGGAAATGCCATTTCCAGCGTTTTGAGGCGTTATCCAAGACATATTTACCGCAGACACGGTCAGCGATATTATCAATAAAATCCCAAAGACTTCATAAGGAGGCTCTCTTCTTTATTTAAGAAAATTCAAAATGTTGGAAATATTGTTTGGGGGGAGGGGGTGCATAAGAGACATTCAACAAAAACATTTACGTAGGGAAGCACATTCAATTGCGCCTCTACATAATCAATATTTCAAAATGAACATTCAATAGCGGGAAACGACAAAAACATGTTATGGAARACGAAATTTAAATTTATTTTATCCATTTGTTGATATAGAGTACCTATCCTTCGATTTCTTCATGACTTCATCTTGGGATGCATCATTGCACAAATCTGTCTGTTCATTTGTCTCCGAAGGATTTAKATAAGGACGAAAAAGTTGCTGGTAGACTCTACATTTATTTATTTTTTCTCTTGTTCTTTCTTAACAAATACTAAATTGTTGCACGGTCAGGAAAAAATGTCCATTCGAATGTTGCGTAGGAAAGGTACTCTTGTATTACAACATTAGCATTGCATTGTCAGCGAGGGAGACTGAACGTGAAATTGGCGCTGGAGCAATCTCTCGAACACCATTGGATTTGTATTCCATTCAGGCTACTCAGCAATTTTCGGTGGAATGAATGGACATAAGTTTGATGATTTCCTGGCACAGACAAGGCTAAATCTCGACCCTGATGTGCATGTGATCTTCACTTATGATGGCGCACTAGCCCACTGCAATCCTGCTAAGCCTTGCCCTAATTCTGAGTTAAAAAAATATCACCATACAGCCTGTTTCTTAATAGTATTGTGGAGCAAGCAATGAATGTCTTAAAAGCAGGTATACATGCGGAAATCAATCGCTCAGAGTTACAAGAACAAATGAACGACAGACCAGAAGCAAGAAGGCAAGGAATGGCCTTGTGAAAGAAATGTTGCCACAATAACAGCTACTAAAAGACCATGGTTCTGATTTGTGCAAAGATACAACTCAAGATGCACAACTTGTGAGGAAATCTCGAAGGATAGGTACTCTATATCAACAAATGGATGAAATTTATTGAAATTTCTTTTTCCATAATTGATTGTCGTTATTACGCACATGTTTGTCGTTTCCCGCTATTGAATGTTCATTTCGAATGAATGATTGTATAGAGGCGCAATTGATTGTGCTTCTCTATGTAAATTTTATTATTGAATGTCTCTTATGCACCATTAATTGACTGTATCTTGATGTTGATGATTATCCATTCCGCGAGATTGAATGTACGTTCGTTATGTTTGATTGTCTAAAGATGCAATTGTTTATCTGTTACAGCTGTAATGCTATTGAATGTCACTGAATATGTAAATCACGTCAATTGAATGTTTCTTGTCGTTAYTGAAACATAAGATAATGCTAATGAATGTCTTTTCGCTCTGTTGTTTTTACTGTTGATGCAAATGATGTATATTTTGCGCAAATGAACAGCGAAAGGTGTAATAAGGGTGACCTTTATCAGATATAAAGGTTCATGACCCTRGCAAAGGTCTCAGCTTTGTCAACAACGCAGGACATTAAAACATTTTTCGATAAGGGTGCATAGAAYGAAGAGGACAAAAACAATATATTTTATTGCTCTACCATTTAAGGTGGTGTTCCGCAGGYTCCCAGAGTTTGTTTTGCTTTTGGCATTTTTTGTTGCAATTTTTGCCAGACCAAGCAAAAAATACACAGCAAATCTTACTTCTACTGGCCTTTAATAACCTTCAAAATTCTGCCTACTCACATTTTGCCCGTATATCAATACGYGATCCTCTTTTCGAAGCCCATTTGAGTATGATCTTTTATGTAAATTTAAAAAAAGAAACGACTCGAAAATAATAATAAAACAAATATCTAAAAAAAATAAACATGATTAGATCAAGTATACTGAAGTTAACAAAAAGAAAGAAAGAAAAAATGGTTTAGAAGTGCTCCAGTCACAAATTGATCCTGCGACCCTCAGTTCGACGCCGCTATTCGAGTACATGTATGATCATGTGTAAAATTATAGTCAAAAGACTTGAAGCGYGCCCCTTMAAAACGCCATTATTCAATTCATTATTCGATTCTTGGTCGATTCAACATTACATTATTAAAATCAGATTTGAATTCAAACTTAAATTTACCTGYTTTTGTTTGTGCCTGATCGTCGTTCAATGATAGGATTGCGTGCTTTAGARACAGACTTCAACATCACCACATGATCTGAAATTCTCATCTCTGTCAGACGTACATTATGTGCTGTCATAGCTTCCTCAAATGCTTCCTAAAGACAACAACAACAATGTAACTTTAGCAATTACTACACTAAGTGTCAAAATTCCAAAGACAGGGCTTCACCTCTCCCAAGACTTGAGTTAGGCGCGGTATCGACACAATATCGAACATMSGATAATTATATCTTGATATTATCATTTATTTATATTACTTTTCCTTGTCACTAGATGTCTTCCTGTATCGCGATGTTATCGGATAATATCAGTAATTACATATAATAGATAGTCACTAGATTAATCCTCTCTTACTG